CTTATAAAACAATCTGAGGAAATAAAAAAGTAATTCAGAGTGACTGGAAGAATGTGAGATGAATTCAGGTACAATGTGAGATGAATTCAGGTACAATGTGAGATGAATTCAGGTACAATGTAAAATGAATTCAGGTACAATGTGAGATGAATTCAGGTACGTGTTGATCAATGTGAAGATAATACTCACAATGGAATCCAAAATGTCTTCAACTGAAAAGTTCCTCTTCAGGACAATCTTGATGGATCCTAGTTAAAGAAATTCATAAACATGCATAAAACATTCCCAACTCAATTACAGGTCTGCAAAGCACAAGCAGAGTTCCAGGATGGATGACTAAAGAAAGATAGCACTATCCTAAATATGAATAATATAGAGAAAGATCTAATGGTAAACAACTATGGGCTACTGACTTGTCTTGCAATGGTACAGGATTTACTTACTGGAATGATCACATACATGTTATATGGGCGCCTATGTAAGAAAGGACGTCGCCAACAGCAGCAGAAAAGCTAATGACTTAAGTCCAAAAAGACGCATCAAAAGCTGCTAATCAACAAGACTGTCATTAGATTGCAGAAAAAAGTTTATTTGTACAGAGCGAATAGATTGCAAGGAGGCATATCACTAAGTATTCTGAGGCATGATTTTGAAATGATAAACATGCAGCCATCGCATTTAGAGTAGTGTTAATGAGAATGTAGTGAACAAATATATATATATATATATATATATATATATATATATATATATATATATATATATATATATATATATATAAATGACAACAGAACTATAGATATATATGACAATATAACTATATATATATATATATATATATATATATATATATATATATATATATATATATATATATATATATATATATATATATATATATATATCAGATCAAAATGTGATATCATTCCAAGCTGCTCATGACCACCGATGTTTTTCGTGACGAGTGTCATCCAATGATCAAGAGGGCTTAGAGAGAACAAGACTATCCAAACTAGAACCCGAGGACCAGTCACCTTTTATCGTAAAACCATTTGTGGATACATGCTTAAAATGTGCCTGAAATAGACTCCTTTGTCTAGAAAATACATGCTTGAACAGTTCACATCTACATGACATTTGAGATCGGCAAGTACACAATGTACATTTGGTGTGGCAAACCACATAAAACAGATGGAAACAAGCTTCCAAACAATTAAAGACTGAGACATCTAGAGGAGGATAAAGATTACAAATGTCTATCATTTGTCTATGCAGAACTTTTAAACATGATGAAATTAATTATAAGATCAGAAAACTGTATCAATGACTACTTTGAAGTAATTTTGTTATTGTTATTTGTAATGGAGCAATTTTTTCTGTCGATATCTGTAGGAAATATTTAGTAGGACACGTGTACGATTAATTAGATTTATGGGGACCTGCGTTCGTTTAAATCGCCATAATGAATGGATTGGTACAGTCTCTGTGATGAGTTTTGCGATATTCAATGAAGGCTATTTTTGTTTAAACTGAACAGGAAAGAGGTCAACTTCTCTTCTGTATGGAAAACTGTCAGAAAGTTACCAGAAATCAGTTGGATAATCAATAGTTGTCAGACAAACTGCATTGTGTGAGCCTAGTTCAGGCGGGAAAATATTAGTTTCCATTGCACACGCTGTGAAAGGAAGCATGATTTCACGTGAAAACTATGTTTAAATATGCTAATAGCAAATTTGAAAATTAATATACGTTTTTCTACAAAAGAAAACGAACATAAGAATAGTCCGAATGATTTAAGAAGTAAATTTGCTCGTAACATCATCCACGGAAAACAATTATCTGGAAAAATTTAGGCACTATTCTGAAAAGTAAGAGCTTGAAAACAAGGTAATTGCAACACTATTACAATTACGTAATTCTTTGATACTACTATGATAATTTGTTGATATCTTTGCTTGTATTTCAAAGGATTTATTTGTTTAAAGTCGTAGATGAATTTTCTTGATGATATGGTATAACTGTGATGTGACCGCAGATTGATATATTTTTCTATTATATATATATATATATATATATATATATATATATATATATATATATATATATATATATATATATAGCAATATATCTCGAAATGTAAGGAAAGTACAAGAGTAAAAAATAAATGAAGCTAGCATATTCGCAAGTACAAACAATAGGGTAAACTCTATCATCACGTACGCAGATGGTATCGTGGATTTGACCAATAAAACCTAAAAGCCAATATGTAGCAATAACTCACTGCACCCAATAAATGACGCACACAAGTTTGGAGGAAGATATATAATCACATTGAAGACTATGTTCAAGCAGACAAGTGAACATCCAAAAGTATGTAAAGGAATGAAGGAACCCCTAGTCTTAGTCCCGGAATTTATCCGTCTCATAGAGAAAACTCAGCAACAAATGACAACTAGTAACGAACACATCATGAACGTAAAACAGACCGGTGTGAAAAAGGTAATGCATGAGCAGTTGATAAAGGACAAAATACAACAATCCCGCCAGGGTACTTTCATAATACTTGAAATCAAAATCAAACCCAAGCAAACCAAAAATTAAAATATAAAAAAATGATTGATAATAGAAGAGCAGGACCAGGCATTCACGATCATCAACAAGCTGAAATCAAGAGTTAAAACGGAAACATTGTGTAACTATGGGAACAATGATGAGACAGCCAATCATCCGATAAGTGAATGCAGCAAGCTTGCCAAGCTTGGGTACAAAAGCAACACAAAAACCTAGCTCTACTCTAAATATGGTCTTAGTGCACAATCAAATGATTTAATTATAAGGCAAAGAAAGTGGGTTAAAATATAAAGGAAAACATTATGTTGGATTTAAATGTAAAGACGGATCAATATAGGCAAATACATGTTACTGGTAGAAAACAAGTGGAACCCGATTAATCTTCAGGAAAATTCGTATGATATGGGACTCACGCATGTCGCTCTATTGGAAAAAGGAAAGTGATAAAGTAGTTACCTGGCTAGAGAACTAAAAACGATCAGGAAAACTCTCAGACAGAAATCATGCCATATGCGATGGGTGGACTTGGAGTAACACCACACAGGACCGAAGACAGCCTGGCGGAAGCACTAGGCCTATTACAAGCCACACAAGCCACAATACAACCCACACAAGCCCGAAGACAGCCTGATAGGAGTACTAGACGTAATACTTTCCATACAAAGACTTAAGACTGCCTACAAACGCAAGAAATAGCATTATATACAGAAACCGATACTCCTTAAAATTCGGAAGTTCGTTCTGTTTTATTTTTTTTTATTAAGAAACCGTTTTTAGGACTGAAGATATTTGTAATAAGTATTAGAATGACCCTGTACTCTTGAATCAACGTTAAATATTTAAAATCATTTAGAACATATATCGATCTATGATCAATATCTTTATGTTGATCCCACGTGTCTTAATTTTCAGCCTCTGTCCCCTTTTTTTCTTCTTTCTGGAAAAGTATCGTAGTGTACTAAAAACCCGAAAGCTACATAGGTGTGACGGGGACACGTTTGTATAACTTCATACCATTGCCAGATTTGGGGATCTTTTGTCAGTGTTCGTTTAGGCAAAGCACTATGCGTTTATAAATAAACCTCAAGATTGTTTCTGTGGGAAATATCGTCTATGTTGGCATGTAGGGCTGATCGAATTACATGACCTCTTATTTGCAATTTCGTTGTGCGCCAAGAGATCTGGTTCAAAGTAGTTTGTCATGAATAAAATGTAAAAAAGACAGTAATCTGCCGCGGCATTATGCTGCAAAGTTAGGATCAATATTGTTTGCATTTTGTCCCTTTTCTAAACGAGTACAAATTGCTACCCGTCTCACTTCACAATTAAGAAACTGCTCATGGCTTTTGACTTTTCATAACAGCATGTCAAAATAATTCTTTAAAAAGTTAGGTTCCGTTCACTATCAGTATGCGAAGAGACAAAACATACGTCAGAAAAGTAGACACGTGTTGGCTCGAGCTATAACGAAGCGAATCCATTTACTACACAAACTCAGATGGTCGTTACCAAAGGATGAACTCATGACAGTCGTCTTTTGTCTGATTATGAGGCAGGCACTATATTTCCGCACCAATATCACAATGCTAATATGTAAATGTAAAGCGCTTTCTGTGTTGTTGAAAGTCAAATATTTAGTTAATTCAATATAAAGTCGGCGAATCTGAAGTCATTTTAAAATAATTAATTTTATTGTATACATAGGTATACAATAAAGTATACAATACAGTATAACGTAATGCCATGACAGTATATTTTTGTTTGTGTTGGAATGGGGATCCCTGAATCATAGTTCAAGATTTACTGACCTAAGCTTATTCTCTCACAAATTGTATGTAATTTTTGTCTCCATTCTCTCTGGTCAAGTAAAGTTAACTTTTTTACATTATACCCATACATAGGCATCTTAAAATCAAACAGCGTAGTACATTCGTCAGATCTAAGAATGCAGTACAATCATCAAATCTAATACTGTATCACAGTCATCATATCGAACAACTTTGTACAGTCGTAAAATCTAACAACAGTACAGTCTTAAACCTAGCGACCTGGTACAGTCGTAAAAATCTAAGAACATATCAGAGTCGTCAGATCTAAAACCGTAGAACAGGTTCCAGTCTAAAATCATAATATAGATTTCAAATCAAACAATGTAGTAGCTGTCATGCGTCGAATGTATGTTATGCAAAAGTGATGTGATTATGATTTTTAATGTAGATTTAAAAAATTTCAATCATATCGCTATGATGTCTGCAGTGTTGCAGTTTATAGTGATGTCTAGCACTAGGGCATCATGCCGCAGACATGTCGCATGATGTGCCACCCAGTCACATTATCCTAACACCAGGCCGACCAGTCCTAACACTAACCTCTTAATGCTGAGCGCCAAGCGAGGCAGCTGTTAGTACTATTTTTGTAAGTCTTTGGTATGACTCGACCGGTGATCGAACCCATGACCTTCGGCATCCGATGCGGAAGCTTTAACCACTAGGCCACCGGAGCGGTTATACAAAAAACGTTCATATAATAAATAAAAGAGACACTAAACACCTGATGTGAGTTTTCAATTATTATTAGTCTTCTCCCCTACCCCTCCACAAACGATCATATAAATGATCGCTAAAATAATAAAAGATCAGTTAGAAGCTATGTTTTCCTATGTAATCAAACAACATTGGTGAAGATCATCGTATTTAATATTAGACATAATTTTAAACTTCAAAAGACATTAGAGGGGAGTGAATCTGGTTTTGACTACAGTGCAGACGCTATTTTGTTTCTATAAAACTAGTTCTATTAAATTTGAATTTGGTTTGCCAGGTTACCTTGCATATAATTCTTTTTAAAATGAAAAGAAATAACAAATTAGAATTTGTTGGCAGTAAAGCGTGTTTAAGCTAAAGTTCTCAGATTAAGGCTCAAACTTGACATCAAAGCAAACATTTCTATTATAGCAATATTTGCAATCAAAGTTGTGACCGGGTGCCAATCTATTATTTAAGCGCAATAAACTTGTTAACGGTAAATAGAATACTTCATCAGAGCGAGGTTCAATGCACGAGTAATTTATTTTCTTGTAGAAGAAGCCAATGGTTTCTCTCATAGATATAACCTAAACTGCTGGTACATGCAAAGGTTAATGCCCTGCTTTAGTACCTTATAATGTGTGGACTCGTATTAATGAACACGTAGTGTTATCATTACCAAATCACTTTCTGAAGCTAATTATGTCAAATCGATGCTCGTAAATCACTCCGTCACTCACACACACACACACACACACACACACACACATCATCGCGCGCGAGCGCGTTCTCGATCATTCTAGCTCATTCTCTCACTCACATTATATATCAACATGTCCAACTGACCGTATATGGAATGTATTTATTATAGGCCTCAGGAGCCACTTCCCTGTATCGACTCAAAAATAAAATTGATTGTGACACATTATAAATATTAGTAAACACGAACCATACAAATTTAATCTTTATTTTCACGGCCTTATGCAATATCTATGGACCTCAGCACCCTACATCATTTATATAAATGAGGGCCTTAAATATTGTCAGACATTACATACACAATATGACAGCCACATGCAATCCCATAATTTCCTTCCATCAATTCAAAACTATTGTTTAGACAAGAAGGCCATTTATGAAATAATCTAGTGAAATGTTTCCGTTACATGAAGAAAGTTGGTAGATAACATCCCAATATCGATTGGTAGTAAAAGACGCAATTTCGGGCAATAATGTTAAATGGGGTAGAAACCAGATATAGTTTTGACTCTACGCCTACCATCACAGCGTGTAATTACACGAGGCACCTATTTAAATTTATTGTTCTCACTTAACTTTCGATGTACTTAAGCATGTATCTGAGATGACTACTCCGCAAATTATTCTCTATGAGAATAGTTGGTACAATCAATAAAAAAATTTATAACAAAACACAGAAATCATATTTTAAACAGTTGCCGGTTGGACGGCAGTTCAATCTAAGCACAATTTCAACAAATGAAACAAAAGAAAATTGCATCTTGGCGAAAACACATTCTTTGCTGTGAAACAAATTGTTTGAATATTGCAATGTTCTCAATGCAATCAAAGCTAAATAGATACACATTCACTTTAATAAGGATTTGCTGTACTATTTCTTCTATTGGCAATCAAGTTCTAAATCTCCTGAAAGTGTTTGCCTCATGTTTCAGCAAAGAAAGAACATCTACAAATACAAACATATTGTCTTCAAATGTAAACGTCTTGGTAGCAGTCTGGCACATGCAAATTCATCAGACAAGATGGGATTCATTCTCAAGAGCCTTGTGAATTAATAACTTAGTCAAAAAAAAAATCAATCTTGAATAACCTAAACATTTTTTATTTCTTTCGAAAATTAAACTCCTCAAACATTATAGGTGTCCATTTATATATATATATATATATATATATATATATATATATATATATATATATATATATATATATATATATATATATATATATATATAAAGAATACAAATCATATGGCGAATAACAACCCTCTCAAGCGTACTGGATCCACCAAGGGATCACGTTTGTCAGGGATTAATTAAAATAGATGCAATAAACTGACGACGAACAGTACGAAACTAGTAACTAACTAGCCTAAGCGCTTTCGACTCTTAATGAGTCTTTTTCAAAGGCAAATACAAAACATAGTTACGACAAACAAATAAACACAAAAACGTTGCGTTTGTAAACCTCTACATTTCTATCTTCACATGTGTATTTATAGTTTTAGCACATGTGAAGATATATATATATATATATAAAACACCCTTTTCGGTCCTGTATTTATGTGGTGCTACTGTATCCATTCCATTGTTTCCTTCTTATACTTAAATTGTTGCCTTATCTCTTAGAATGGAGACGATGTCTCAACAAATACAGAAAACATTCAAAACTTTACGCAATGAAACTGATGCCTTACTTCGCCTAAAGCATCATTGCACTTTCTTGCATCATTTCCTCGAAGTAAATACAGTCACTCAAGGTCTTCAGATTCATGTGAAACCGCAAATTATTGGCAAGAGCTCAAAAAGATTCAACAAAAGATGGAATAAAATAACTCACAACGCTTCCATGAAACTCACAGCCCTACTTAGTAATAACGTAAACCATCAATATCTAGTCAAATCAGCAACCACTGAAGAACTAAAATATCAGCTCAATTCCGTCTCAACAGAAGAACAATTGAAAACGTTTAACTCCAAATTAAATAAAGATCAACAAAGACTCTCTTCGAAACTTTACAAAGTCAGAGATAGAAAACTTAGAAGTCATGATCTACAACTAAAGGACTGTTGTGAAGAAACTTCAATTGACGAAATTTCTTCTAAAAACAATCGTAAGAAGAAAAATCGCAGCAAAAGGAAGAATCGCAAGCACTCTGTAACAAACACTAATGCAACTGTTACTAACACAGTAGTCAACATCTCCAATTTAGAACTTACTGATGCAGAAATAAAACTTTTATCGAAAGGTTTGAGTTTCTGTCCCCGTCCAAAAACATACGATAGAGGGAAGCTTAAGAATGACACCGAAGAGGTCATCCGCCGACTAAGACTCAAAACCCATTTTGCCTTGCAACCAAAAAAACAAATCAAAGGAAAATATAAGCTGCGACCAACCCACAGTTAGAAAGAAAAGTAATTGTACCCCACCAAAATGTTCAATTCCAAATCTGAAAGCCTTTATCAACTGGGTTGAAAAGGATACTTCCAGATATATCAACCATACTAATAAATATTCTAATTTGACAAAAGAAGAAACAGATGCCCTGCACTCACTGAAAAGCAGAACAGACATTATAATTAAGCCTGCAGATAAGGGTTCCGCTGTTGTCGTTATGAATAGGGAAGACTACATTAGTGAAGCAAGTAGACAACTAAGTGACGCTAGGTTCTACCAAAAACTGGACCATGATCCAACGCTGGAATATGCAAAAATCATCACTAATGTTATTGACGAGGCGTACCAAAGCGGACACATAGACCAGCAAACGAAAAGCTACTTAAGCCCAGAAAACCCAAGAGAAGGTAGATTTTATCTTCTACCACAAATCCACAAACAAGGAAACCCTGGCAGACCTATACTCTCAGGTAACGGGCACCCCACAGAAAGGATATCAGAATATTTAGATCATTTTTATGAGACCACATCTCCACAAATTACCATCATATCTTCAAGACACGACAGATTATCTCATAAAAAGCAAAGCTAGTGAACCATTACTGCCAGATACATTACTTGCTTCCTTAGACGTCACATCTTTGTACACCAACATACCGCACAACGAAGGGTTACAGGCATGTAGCGAAGCATGGAAACAAGAACTGTAAACAATCCACCCACACACTTCTTAGTCCAACTTCTATAGCTTGTCATAAAACTCAACAACTTTGAATTTAATGAAGAAAACTACCTACAAGTCAATGGAACTGCAATGGGTACTAAAATGGCCCCTTCGTATGCTAACATTTTCATGGGAAAACTTGAGGATCAGCTCTTAGCACCGGTTGAGCGTACACCATACCAGTGGGTACGCTTTATCGATGACATAGAAATGAAGTGGCAGTATGGAAGAGAAAGTCTGGATGACTTCATATCAAAGGCAAACAACTTCCATCCTTCAATAAAATACACGGCAGAAATTTTCAACTCAAACCATGTTTTCTTGGACATAACAACCAGACTGGTGGAAAACAAATTACACACAGACATCTACTCGAAACCAACCGACAAACACCAGTATCTCCTCCCTACCAGCTGTCATCCAAAACACTGCATTAGGAACATTCCATATAGCCAGGCACTGAGGATACGCAGAATTTGCTCTGACGATGAAAGATTCCTAGAAAGGTCTGAAAAGCTGGCTAAACATTTAATTTACCGAGGCTACGACAAAGACCTAATTGCGGAGGCAATCCAAAGGGCCAAACAAACAAACCGTGATGACCTACTCAGATATGGACAGAAGGAAAAGGTTGATAGGATACCATTTATTCTGATTTATCACCCAGACAATACCAAAGTAGGTAAAATCATCGCAAACCACTGGCCAACCGTGCAATCGTCAGACATACTAAACCTAATACTTCCGAACAAACCTGTAGTAGCTTACCGGAGACCAAAAAAACCTAAAGGACATCCTAGTCAGGGCAAAGCTAACGCCAATCGCTAGTCAAAACCAACCTAGTCAATTTGGACCCTGTGGCGATAAAAGATGCAAAACCTGTCAACATATGATAGAGACCAAGACATTCTCTAGCACATTGACTAAAGAAAAACTAAGCATACATGGTCTAAACAAAACGTGAAAACATAGAATGTGATTTATCTCATCACATGTAAGATCGGTGGCCTTCAGTACGTCGGAGAAACTGAAAAGCTACACAAAAGGATAAACCTTCATAGATCTGATTGGATGATAAAAAAGCTATACAGAAGCCCGGT